GAACAGATGATTCAGAAGCAGAATATATGTAATTATATAACATTAGAAAGCATTTTATTATGATTCCTTTAATTTGGCTCTGCCCATCTGTGCTGCATCAACCCTTTCTTTCTCTAACTATTTAAAGCAACACAGATTTGAAACTAAATTAGATCACTTCTCCAACATGTAGTTAGTGGCTGCAGATTTTATAACAATGCTTCTTTTCCCATAGCAGCTACCGTTGCTCCGCAATGTGAGTAAAGCAGGAGGAGGAAGGGGAGGTCTGAGGTCTAAATTGACTGTTGTAATATACAAACACCTGACTTACTTTGAGCCTACAGCCTGTCTTTCATTTCGGTTGCGGACCTTGGATGAAACAACAGTTTAATCACGCCGAGCTTTCTACTTTTTTGTCAGCTGTCGGCATTCTGGCAAAATCTGCCAAATCTTTAGTTTAGTGTTATAGGTGATGCACAAGTATTCTAAACTAACATGGACAATTCAATGTAATGTGATGAGTAGAAAAGTGACACAGGTTGTTCAGTTTGGAGACATGTAGATCAATGAATGTTGACAGAATGCAGCTGTTAGCAGCTCTGGAACTAATCTTTATCATTATTATTAACCAAAAACACTCTGAAACCTCCCAGATATCCTCACTCTGAAACCAGGCATACTGAATTTGTTTTCCTTTTAAGCCGAAGTTGTAATATTTTGTAGATCTGTGGGAGAGCAACAGCCTGCATTTAGCCCCTCTCATGAGCCTCAGCTGACTTTGTTCACGATGATGACATCGCTCTGAGCAAGAGATGCGCAAAGGAGGCACAAAATCTGAATATCTATGATGAAAATGATTTCAAGTTCAAAGGCTCACTCTCAGACTAATAGTTGTATGGAAATGGCACATGCTTAACTAATGTGAGGCACGATTAGAAGGGCACACTAACATACTTGTGAGGTTTGTGTTTACGCTGGCCTCGCAGGTGCTGCAAAGCTCTTGGCCACAGAGGAGTGTTTGTTTTGCTCTC